AACTTTATGGACTATTACAATAGCAATTAAGAGTTTCACACTCATTTGGGGTGAAGATATTGTGTTCTATGGAGAAAACATGATTTCGAAGTCAAATAACGTGAATTGATTTTCTCGTCTTCCACTTTCTGAAGTTACTTGGTAAAATTCTTTCAAGAATAATGTGATTTGACTAAAAATGGCAGCATGGACGGGATTAGGAACCCTAAGGCTCCTCAAAATTTCATGATCTTAAGTTTGTGTTTGTAGACGTAAAAATAAAATAAAATGAAATGGATTGGATCAATTTAAATCATTAGTCCAATTAAATTAAAATCTACTAAAGTCCATAAAACCCAAAGGCCCATACCAAATTTTAAATAAATAAACAAACAAATAAAATAAATAAACAAAATAAATAAAATCATAATTGCTCAATTATCTCTTTTAATTAAATATAATTGAGTAATTACCAAAATTAGCCCGAATCCTCCCCTATAAATAAGACCAATGGTTCATAAGACAACACATAAAAAAAGCAAGCAAGAAAAGAAAGCAAAGAACACCACGAAGTGCTGAAGAAATCTCAAGGCTGAAAGAAGGGAAGAAATTCTGTCAAGCCTTAACTCGATGAACCCCAAGAAGATAAAAATCTTCTTCGAATCAAAAAGGTTCACACCAAATTCAAGAAGATCAAAGTGTTCTTCAAATTAAACCAAATTCAAGTCCAAGTCCAAGCCTCAAGATTCAAGTTCTAAACAAGTCAAATATCGACAAATCAAATTTTCAATAAATTATTGAAGATCAGGATTTAAGCCACGTGACCTCTCGTCTTCAAATATTCAGATCATTAATCAGAGGATTTTGCAATTTTTCAACTACAAGAAGGTCAACATCACTTGTATTTATCTAAATACAATTTGTAACGATTTCTGTATTTTAATACACGAAATTCCGTCGTACAAATTTCTTGGCACGCCCGGTGAGACCTTCTTGTCCTCTCATCTTTTGATCTCAAAATCTTCAAATTTCAAATATTATATCAGCAATGGCAGGCGAAAAGACGAAACAAACTATGACTCATCTCGAAGAGACACTTGCTGAACTCTTCCACGTGACCAGAGCCCAAACAAAAATTGGGAAAATTCAACTGGTCACACCACTAAAGAAATTCTGCAACAAAAACAGAATGAAAATTGCCTTCAGAAAGCCAAACTCTCATTCGACACAAAAAACCATGAGTTCGACGAAAAACTCTCGTTCGGGATCCATCTCCAGAGGTAGATCCTTATCTGGATCCCCTCATGCTACTTCTCAGCAAAAGTGGGAAGATGATACTTCATCTGAAGAATCACTTGAGCCAGTGATGGTCACAGAAGCGGCATCGGGCTCAGATGATCAAATCCGACAAATGGCTTTAGCTATTGAAAAATTAACAAAGTCGTTAGAAGAAAAAGATGCCCAAATTACCGCACTCATGCATAAACTAGAGTCGCAAAATCCACCACTTAAAGAAGATCAGGAAAATTTAGGATCTTCCAAGGTCAAAGAATTAGAAGTCCAAGAACATCAACAAAAGCAAGATATACATGATCGAACAATTGTTCAAAATGTGTTGCGTGATGCCACTCAACTCTCCGTTGGCTCTCTATTCGTCCAACAACTTCAACATATGATTGCGGACACCATTCGTGCCCAATATGGTGGTTCGTTGCAATCTTCATTGGAGTATGCCAAACCCTATAGTAGTCAGATCGACGAAATAAGGATACCACTTGGTTACCAACCTCCGAAGTTTAAATGTTTTGACGGAAAGGACAACCCAAAGCAACATGTTGCTCATTTTATTGAGACATGTAACAATGCAGGTACTTACAATGACATAATGGTGAAGTAGTTCGTACGCTCCCTCAAAGGTTCTGCATTTGAATGGTACACAAACTTACCGGCAGGGTCAATTGATAGTTGGGATCAACTCGAGCGAGAGTTCTTAACACGCTTCTACAGCACTCGGCGAACTGTCAGCCTTCCAGAACTTGCTCGAACAAAGCAGAGCAAGGAAGAGCTTGTAGTAGAGTACATTGAACGCTGGAGAAACCTTGTGCTTAATTGTAAAGAACGAATAAGTGAAGCATCTTCCATCGACATGTGTGTACAAGGCATGCATTGGGAATTACTCTATAATCTCCAAGCAAACATGCCTCACTCATTCGAAGAATTGGCGACACGTGCTCATGACCTGGAGCTCCAAATTGCAAGGCATGGGAGTTATTTACCAAGTGACTAGAAAGATCCTAAGAAGGATATAAAGAAGGACGTTAAAACAAGTAAATCCATAGAGGCTATGGCGATTTCTACGGCTCCTGCAAAGATAGCCTTCCAAGGGTCGAGCTCGAACTCAAAACCGAAGCTAGAGTTCAAACCTAACAAAGGACAAGTCCAAAGCAGAAGTCATGTGACTCTAAAGGAACTTGAAGGAAGGGAATACCCATTCTCAGATTCAAAAGTTTCTGGAATTCTAGATCAGCTCCTTGAACAGAAAATAATCGAACTTCCAGTACCAAAAAGACCTGAGGAGGCAGGTAAGATCGATCATCCTAAATACTGTAAATTTCATAGGATCATTAGCCATCCAGTGGAAAAATGTTTTGTTTTGAAAGATCTTATTGTTCGCTTGGACAAAGAAAATAAGATCAAACTTGAGACTGGAGAGAATCCAACAGCCACATGCTCGATGGTTTCATTTGGATCATTTGATCCAATTCCCATTCCAGGAAAGAAACAAACATTCTTTGATGTACACGATGCCTGTAAATCCTCCGTTGAGGAATTTGGACCTCAACTCCCGGAAGGAGCCATCCCAGTGAAATTTGAGGTAGATGGAGAAATCACCATCAGTTATATCTATCCAGGGATGAATGGACCAAGCGCACCCAATCGTCCAACCTTTAATGAAATTATGACAGGTGACTTAGATGTTTGGGATTCCGACTCAGAACTTGAAGATGAGATTGGTGACGGCTGGTCTACCTTCATAAAAAAGAAAGAGAAATACATAATGCCAAACAAAATAGGTAAAATATTACCTTCTATGTTTCTTGAAGGAACAAAGTTGGAGGAATTGGATACGAAAATTTAACCCAATGAAGAAGAAACGCTAGAAGAAGATCATGGGGCATGGACCTTAGTGAAAAGACGTCGTCGGAAGGCTCCACGACTCCCAAATTCTAACTTTTGTGACAAGAAATCAAGACCAAGGAACAATCAAAGAAGGAGACCTGAAGTCAAGTCAAGAGTATCTACTAAATCAATCGGAGAGGGAGCAGCTCCACGCGTTCTTCCTAGACTACCGACCTTGGGTGATTATTTTCCTAAGGGTTTCTTTGATAAAGAATGTCTAACCTCCAACGTAATCAATGTGAAGGAGAAACATGAAATGAAGAACGTATCAAAGCAGACTTCAAAATAGAAGAAAACTATTTCACGACTCAATAATATTCCTGTCAATACAAGTCTAGTAAAGTCTCTTGCCCTTCCCTTCGATGATCGAATGGCCTTGGTGGCAGCATTAATCGATCCGGAAGAATATGAAGGCAAAGTTTTAGAACATATTGGATCCACATCTCCTCAAGACTGTATGGCTGCCATAACATTCGACGATGGATATTTACAGCTGGGATCACGTCCACATAATAGACCACTGTATGTCAGCGGTTATATTCGAAAGTGCAAGATAAATAGCATGATGATCGATTGTGGATCTACTGTAAATATTATGCTGGTCAAAACAATGAAGAAAATTGGAATTAATGTTGGTAATCTATCCAGAAGCAAAATCATGATTCAAGGATTCAATCAAAAAGGTCAGCGAGCCATTGGCATGATTCGCCTAAAGTTGCAAATAGAGGAGTTAATCTCCTCGGCTCTTTTTCATGTCATTGATGCTAAAACATCATACGAGTTACTCCTTGGACGTGTTTGGCTACACGAAATTGGAGTGGTACCTTCGACTTGTCACCAATGCTTCAAATACAGCCGAGACGGAGAGGTCAAATGTGTGGTAGCTGAGTCCAAACCTTTTCTCGAAGAAGAATCTCATTTTGCCGATGCCAAGTTTTACATGGAAGGTGAAGAATGTAATTCTTCAGGGTTGACCATGTCTGGATTCAAAATCAAAGAAGATACAAACGATCATGATACATCTAGTGCTGCTCAGTCTCATCAACTTATCGAAGATAAGTCAAAATTTACATCCGAAAAATTCTCTAAAGGCAAAGAACCTCAAGTAGAATCAATCGATGTTGAGATATTGAGAAAAGAGTTAACTCTTCCAATACCTAGCATCCCAAAATTGCTTTTGCCCCACCAACTTATGGCGGGCTCGAAAGAACATAAATCTACATCAGAGGCTTCAACATCTCTTTCGGACATATCAAAACTCTGTATTTTCGGCTCATCCAAACAAGAAGGAGCTGCTGAATCAAAACAAACTTTCAAAGGATGTTACAATCCTCAAGTTAAAAAGTTGTTTGAAAATGCTGGGTTTGGAAAAGGAGAGCCTCGTAAATTAGGTGATCTTGATGCTGTCCTTTCAGGAGGACATCCCCCTTTTAATTCTGATCAAGCCTTGATGTCCCGACCCAAGTATGGTTTGGGATATGATCCCAATCCACCAAGAAAGATTAAGGTCAAGAAGGTTTCCTCAAACCCCATCATGATTCAAATTTATGAAGTTGCAGAAGAGAAATCAGAACAGCTGAAACCTTTAGTGTTCGATCGAATTGAAAATAAGAATGCCAGAGTTTCAGTGTTTAAAAGGTTAAAAGGAGAATCCTCCCCAATAGTTGATGTAAAAGGTAAAGTTTCCGTCTTCCAAAGATTAAGCGAAGATTTTTCTTTTTCTACCCAAATTGATAAGAATGCACAAGCTTCCCAAACGTCATCCCAAAGACAATCCGCATTTTCTCGACTTGGGATTAAAACTTCTGATCCAAGCCTAAAGCCACAACGATCAAGAAGAAGACGAAGATAGCAAAAACTTCGTCCGTCCCAAAAGGAGAGTGAAGAAAAAGAAGAAGTCTTTGTCAATCACATAGCCTTTGAAGAAGCTCCCGATTCAGACTCCGAGTCCGAAAGTTCGGTCGCAACTGATAAACCTGAACCAGCCGCACATACTTTTGAGAAAGGTGGACAAGCTACTGTCGATGACTTGAAACAATTGAACCTGGGGACTGAAGAAGACCCGAGACCAGTATTTGTAAGTGCCCTTCTCAATCAAAAGGAAGAATCTGAGTACATTAGTTTGCGTCACGAATACAAAGACGTGTTTGCATGGTCTTACAAAGAAATGCCGAGGTTAAATCCTAAAGTTGCAGTGCATCATCTTGCGGTAAGACATGGAGTTCGACCCGTCAAACAACCTCAAAGAAGATTTCGACCAGAATTGATTCCTCAAATTGAAATGGAAGTCAACAAACTTATTGAAGCTGGATTTATACGTGAAGTGAAATATCCAACATGGATCGCAAACATTGTTCCTGTCAAAAAGAAGAACGGGCAATTGTGAATTTGCGCTGACTTTCAGGATCTGAATCAAGCATGTCCGAAAGATGATTTTCCACTTCCAATAACAGAGCTGATGGTGGATGCAACTACCGGATATGAAGTCTTATCTTTCATGGACGGATTTTCTGGATACAATCAGATACGGATGAACCCAAAAGACGAGGAACTCACATCATTTCGTACCCCAAAAGGCATATATTGTTACAAAGTTATGGCTTTTGGATTAAAAAATGCAGGGACAACCTACCAGCGGGCAATGCAAAAGATTTTCGATGATATTCTACATAAGAACGTTGAATGTTATGTGGATGATCTTGTTGTTAAAACAAAAAGACGCGACGATCATTTACAAGATTTACGTGATGTTTTCAAAAAACTTTGAAGACATCAGTTAAAGATGAATCCGTTGAAATGTGCATTTGGCGTCACCTCTGGAAAATTTCTCGGCTTCGTTGTTCAACATCGGGGCATTGAAATAGATCAATCAAAAATTGAAGCTATAATCAACATGCCAGAGCCAAGAAATGTACGTGAGTTGAAAAGTTTTCAAGGAAAACTTGCATACATTCGAAGATTTATCTCTAATCTAGCCGGACGTTGTCATCCATTCAACAAATTGGTGAAGAAAGATGTACCATTCGAATGGGATGACGCTTGTCAAAATGCTTTCCAAAGCATTAAACAATATTTGTCTCGTCCACCAGTACTCACAGCTCCAGTTCCAGGGAAGTCGCTGACTCTTTATGCAGCACAAGAATATTTTCTAGGGGCATTCTTGCCCAAGTTAATGAAGAAGGAAAAGAGAATGCACTCTATTACTTGAGCCGGACACTGGTAGGCGCTGAAATGAAGTATTCACCTATTGAAAAAATGTGCCTCGCGTTAATCTTCGCAGCAAAAAAGTTGAGGTATTATATGCTATCACATACAATCAATCTTGTTTCAAAGATTGATCCATTGAAGTACATAATGTCCAGACCAATTCTTTCTGGAAGGATTGGAAAATGGGCATTACTATTGTCTGAGTTCGACATCAAATTCATTCCACAAAAGGCCATTAAAGGACAAGCTTTGGCGGATTTCCTTGCTGACCACCCAATTCCAACAGAATGGGAACTTCAAGAAGACCTTCCCGATGAAGAAGTTCTATTCACCGAAATCATACCATCATGGAGGCTATACTTCGACGGGGCAGCTCGAAGTTATGGTGCCGGAGCAGGAGTGGTCTTCATCACTCCTCATGATCTTGTCATGCCCTACTCATTTGCCTTAACAGAGAAATGTTCGAATAATGTGGCAGAATATCAAGCTCTTATCATCAGCTTAGAAACAGCTTTAGATATGGATATTCACCAGCTGGAAGTCTTTGGAGACTCTAAATTGATAATCAACCAACTTTTAGCTGAATATGAAGTCTGTAATTCAGACTTGAAGCCATATCATGAACATGCAGCAATGCTTATGAGACGATTTGATTCGATAAAAATCAAATTCGTCCCGAGGAGTGAAAATAAGGAAGCTGATGCCTTAGCTAATTTGGCTGCTATTTTAGCTAGATCAGATGAAGACTTTTCCCACTCCATATCAATTGCTCAAAGATGGGTGCTTCCGTCATTGCTACCCAGTAATTTAGAAGAAAACAATAGTGTCGAAGTAATCGAAGATGAGGAAAGAGAAGATTGGAGACAGCCAATAATCGATTTCCTTCAACATCAAAAGCTACCAGATAATCCAAGGCGAAAAACAGAAATCAAGAGGCGTGCCTCTCGCTTTATCTTTTATAAGGGAACACTTTATCGACGATCATTTGACGGAGTTTTCCTTCGATGCCTAAGTAATGATGAAGCAACGCAGGTCGTGAAAGAAGCCCACTCTGGAATTTGTGGTGCCCACCAGTCTGGACCTAAACTCTATTTTCGAATAAAGAGGATGGGATATTACTGGCCAACTATGGTACAAGACTCCATGGATTATGCAAGAAAATGTGAAGCTTTCCAAATCCATGCAAATTTCATCCATCAACCTCCAGAACCATTACATCCGACAATAGCTTCATGGCCGTTTGATGCATGGGGTCTTGATGTCATTGGGCCTATATAACTCCAAAGTCTTCAGCAGGGCATGCATACATCCTCGCCCGGACAGACTACTTCTCTAAGTGGGCCGAAGCCATACCATTGAAGGAAGTAAAGAAAGAAAATGTCGCAAATTTCATTCGTATCCAAATTATTTATCGATATGGTGTCCCGTGACATATCATAACTGATAATGGCAAGCCATTTTGCAATAGCCACATAAACAATTTATGTGCAAAGTTTGGATTCAAACAATACAACTCGTCTATGTACAATGCGGTAGCTAACGGATTGGCAAAGGCATTCAACAAAACACTATGCAGTCTGCTGAAAAAGGTTGTCTCCAAATCAAAAAGAGATTGGCATGAGAAAATCGACGAAGTCTTATGGGCTTATCGAACTACTTATCGGACTCCAACACAAGCCACTCCTTATGCCTTAGTATATGGGGTAGAAGCTGTCCTTCCCCTGAAGTGTCAAATTTCGTCACTTCGAATTGCTATTCAGGAAAGTTTGACAACTGAAGAAAATGCCCGCCTTCGATTGGAAGAGCTGGAAGCTTTGGATGAGAAGAGGTTAGAAGCACAAATGCATCTAGAGTGCTATCAAGCTCGAATGGCCAAGTCTTTCAACAAAAAGGTGCGACCAAGATCATTTCAAATTGGAGATCTGGTACTTTCCGTGTGCAGGCCAATCATAATCACAAGAAAAACAGGGGGCAAGTTCCAACCTAAATGGGATGGTCCATTTCTTGTTACCCATGCATTCACTAACGGAGCGTATAAGATCGTCGACAAAGATGGATTGCAAATCAGACCTATCAATGGAAAATTTTTAAAGTGTTTTTACGCCTGAAGTTTTTTATTTTTAAATTTTTCATTGTACAAAAAAAATTGTGTTCTTGTAATGAACTACGTTCGACTTGATTCCGTTTGGGTACGTAGGTAGCTTGAATAAATTATAAATTCATGTTCAGTCACAACTAATAAATTCATTCAATTTGTTTATCACTTGCTGTAAAAAAAAGACACAAGAAGCATGAAAATGAAAAATTCATCCAAATAAGAATAGTAAGTCAAAATTCAAACAATATGATCTTAAAAAAAAAAAGAGATCAGAAAGTCATGACTTTGTCAGGATCACTCACCATTGATCACTCGCGGGAAACTATCTTCAAGGGTCTTCCTTTTCTGGTCAATGGATGCTATGATAGCGACATCTCTTGCCTATACTTCTTCCAATGCTGCCTTCTTGGTTCCAATCATACTTGTTTCTTCCTCTTGGGCTTGAAGTTCATCACGAAGTCTATCTAGCTCAAAGGTTAGCTCACTAATTTTGCCTCTCAACGAAGAACACGTGGAATCCTTTACTTCCAGTTGAATGTTCAAAAGTTTCAACTCCTCCGCCTTTTCTTCAACGGTTGGACAATCCAAGTGCTGCTTTCTTTCAGACAAGTAAGAGTCAATTTTTTTAGAAACACATCCATGCGTTTCATCAAAGGTGCTGAGTCTGCGTGGAATGAGTTGGAAATCACATTCTGAAGAATTAAATTATTTTCATCCCACCAAGATCGAATATTGGAGAATCCATACTTTAAGACATCCTTAAAACATTTCTGGAGGTAATTATTCATAGCTTCTTGCAAAGTAGCCTTCAGATAAGGAGACTCTTGGGTAATTCCAGGTGGAGGACCAGACATGAAAGAACAGATTGGAGCAACCCGATGATTATTTGTTTGTGAAGGCGGAATACTGACTAAAGCCAACGAAGATGGAACGATAGGAACTCCTTGATTGACCTCTGAAATATTAGCTCTCACAGTTCCTGAATTTACTTCATCTTCAGCATTAAAATTGTCCATGATATGCACCAAAGTACCTTCATTGATGGTGCCTGGATATTTGTAAAGGTCATGAGAATCATTAATACCATCTATTCCTTGAAGTGCATCGATTCGCCCGTCATTTTCGCCAGTCTGATTTTGCAAAAAGTTTGGATTCATTGAGAAATTTAGTTCTTTAGGGACGCTCGGAAAACCTACAAGAAATAGAACATGGTTTCAAAAAAAAAAAGGGAAAAAGTGCAGTAAACAACAACAGGACACATACCTGCATTTCGTGTCCTGGGCAACATGTACAAAAATCCATCATTTGATGATGTGTTCGGGAGGCTGAGGTTAACGTGAGAAACTCCAACTTCACCTTTTGAAAGACTCGGAATAGCTTGAAGCGGCCTCAGTTCTATTGGTCGTTTGATTTTGTATAATCGAGAAAGAGGAGCCTGAAATTGAAGATTGTGACAGAAAATCAGATACAAACAATACATAAAATAAAAAATAAAAAAAATAAAGGAAGGACTATACTTGATCTCCAGAACTTTCATCTTCTGGAGTCACAGTTTTTCCTGGTGCTCGTGATGCTCGATCTCCAGGACTACTGTGATCTGGAATCAAAATTGCTTCTGGCACCTTATCAGCAGGCTCAGAGGTGGCAGCAACCTTTGCCGAGGGAACTATGATTTTAATCCTCTTAATACCCTTTTCATTTTGCTGGTTTAGATCTCTCTTTCGAGAAGCCTCTTCAGGAGCAGCATTTGGAGGGTTTAACCCTCTAGCTAAAATCCTGTTCGGAGTGGAGCCAAGAACAAAGTCACGGCTCTCACTAGAAAATAAGACATACACCTAGACCTTGGTCAAAAGTGGTAACACTTTGCTATTCCACCAAGCCTGTATTCAACATCAATGTTTTGATGTATATCCCTCACATACTCTGGAATATGAAATACAGACCCACTTTTTGTCCGAGTTAGGGACAACCAAACCCGATACATGTCGCCTACACTGGGGGCAATATTCAACTTTCTTGGTGAACCGGGAAGTTTCTGTCTAAAGCTAAACTGTCTCGCAAACCTGTGAGGATTATACGCCTCAAGAATGAAAGGTGAATTTCCTCAACGATAAGAGACAAATCCAAATCGAATACTCATCATGAATTCTGAAGTATCTGCAGACCTCGGTTGGTCGTCCACACGTACATCAGGATGAGACGATGAGGGTAATGGATTCCAGGAAAAGTTATCGGTGTTCATCGCTCCACGGATAAATTCCCGACAATCAACGACATTTTTCTCCCAAGATTGAAAAGCATTCAGAGTTCCGGCATATCTTCGAATTATAGGGCGAGAATAACTCTTGTCTACATGAGCATAAACACCTCGGACAAAATAAGTTGATGCCCAAGCATAAAGAAAATGTCCAGGAAATGAATGTGAAATTGAGCCAAGGTCTGGATTTGCCTGATAGTTAGATGTTCGTGTAAGTCCACTATAAATGCTCGCCAATATGGGTGGAACTAGACCATAAGTGTACCCGCCTGCCATCCTAGAAGATGCTTTAAAAGTCCCAACTCTTAGACTTTCGTCCCCAGACGGAAGAACGAAGCGACAAAGCCATAGGGAGAGATAGGCTGCTATCTTTAATTCCTCTTCTTCTTCCATAGACAGAGATGCTGGAAAATTGCCCCAATGACGTCGATCCCTACGAGTAATGTCTCTCGGCTTGTCTGCCACCACGGGCCTCAGTATTTCCTTCGATGTTCTTTGATGGCGCCTTTTGAATGGATTTAAATTCATAGCATTCTTATAATTTTTGTGTTGTCAAGGGTTTGGGACACAACCATTCTCATGAAACCAAAAATTAATCCACTGTTCGTGAGTAACTCTGTCAGATTCATTCGCATGGGCAATCAATGCGAAAACATTAAAGAGATACAAACAAGACTTGGGAAGATGATCCGTTAACTCTGAAAGGCTTGGGACTACTTCCTCATAATAATGACCCATCATCGAAAGTCCACTTATCTCACAGATGTCCCAAAGAGAAATGCCAATTTCACCATTGGCAGTCACAAAGGTGTTGGTTTCTGGACACCAAACCTCACAAAGAGCTCTGTAAATGGAGTTTGGGCAATGGTAATCTTTTACAGCAGAACCGACTGCAAAAGCTAACTCTCGGAGATTCCTCTTGAGTAGAAGTTTTTGGAACCACAAAGACCACTCCCAAAATTTTGGAAGAAAAGAAATCTCTCCTCGACTAACCAGTGCGCTTCCCCATCGTATCTCTCTATTATCAATTCTCTTACAAATCACAGCCCTTGGAATGTACTCCATGCTCTGGGAATGATGGGGTGGAAGACCCAAAAAGGGAAGATGACTGCCAGAGCGATTGGACTTGCTAGTATCCAAACTCTCGTGACAATCACTAATGGTGGACATATGCAACTCCGACAATGGCTCCAGAAGGTCGAGGGAAGGATCTGTCGTTGGCTTATGGACAATAACTTTAAGTTCACCTCGTAGGCCGGTCTGGGCATGGTACTTCACATCAGTATCTTTGAAACGCAGATAACTTTTGCCTTGATTTTTAAACTCAACAATTTCGTGCATGTTAGAACACACTTTATCATTAGAACTTGTTCCAGCCAAAAAAAAAAAAAAAAAGCCAGCCAAAAAAAAAAAAGGGACAGAAAACCTTTCAAATTGGTTTATTGTCTAAAATCTCGAGTTTTCAAAATATGTAAGCAGTCTCTACAAAAAATGCCTTGGATGGTCAAAGGAACAGGTCCTTGATCCCCAAGCACGGACAGTTGAAGGAGTCACTCCTTGGTCCTCAACACAAAGTGTCTTGGACGATGGAAGGAACAGGTCCTTGGTCCTCAACACAAAGTGTCTTGGACGATGGAAGGAGCAGGTCCTTGGTCCTTAACAAAAAGTGCATTGGATAGTAAAAAGTGATAGTCCTTGATCCTCAACATGTACGAAGGAGTCACTCCTTGGTCCTCAACACAAAGTGTCTCGGACAGTTGAAGGAGCCAGTCCTTAGTCCTCAACACAAAGTGTCATGGACGATTGAAGTAACAAGTCCTTGGTCCTCAATACAAAGTGTCTTGGACAGTTGAATGAGACAGTCCTTGGTCCTTAATACAAAGTGTCTTGGACAATGGAAGGAGCAGGTCCTTGGTCCTCAAC